GTTGTGTTGATTGTGTTTGGTGGTTGTCGTCTGCTTTGAAAGTTCAGGTTTGTTGCTGATGATGAGGACGAAACCCCGAGGCACAAAAAAATCTCGTGTATTTATTCATTTATTTTATATATTTGCTTGTTTTAACAATATTAAAATATTGTTCAATTTCTTTTCTCTGTTTTGTTCATTTTATTTGTCGATTTTATTAAACCTCTTATGTAATGTTTTTGATAAACATGATCTACAGCCACAGCAAACGTTTTTTTAGGCACAGCTCCAGATCACTATTTTATCCAGGCAGAGATAACATTTTTCCTCCTTAACTTCAAAATAAATAGCTAAAATAATTTCTTCTACCTGTGCAGTGGATCGTGTCGTATTGAATGTGATTTTTCCCAAACTTCTAACAAAATTATAAATTCGTAAGCTAACATGTCTTTTCTCAAGCATAAAAGTGACAGGTAATCGTCGCTGCATTGAGTGAAGGTAAATATTCGTGCTACATGCTATTTTCATTTTTAGTTAACGTGACGGGGATTCAATAGGCTTATTTAGTTTCATCTTGATTTTTTAAAATAAATAACATTGTATTTCAGTCATATTATATGAGGTAAAACAAACGTGATCATATATTTAAGATATCGTGATATCAAGTAGGGACCTACTGGAAAGTTACTTTTATGTGCAGGTATCTTTCTTAACACTGTCTTCAAAATCTTATCTACAATTCAGTCTTTTGTTTGTTTCTTCGATCTCTTTCTATTTCCTCAGGGATCGTATACATCCACAGCTTCATCCTCTCTGGTAGTAAATCGTATCCCATCTCAGTTTGTTTGCCAATGTTGATGTAGCCCTTCTTGTCCTTGGTGAACTCCTCCCATGTTGCCACGCCCTCTAGGGGAAGTCCTTGATTTGGGTTTCTGAAATAAAACATCGGCTGTTTTTGATAATTTTAGTTTATTGCCATTAGATGTTTCTACATATTTCATACCCCTGTTGACTGAATACAATCAACACAACGCAATATTACGTAAGATTAATGTAAGCAGCATGAAAACGAAAGGTCAAACGCCGTGTATAATCTAGGTAATTAATAGTTGTGCAGCAATATCCACTTCCATCCATATTACATAACAATAAAGTACCCGAATGAATTTTTATCAAACAGAAGTAAAGTTAAACAAATAAATAAAATGAGTAATAATCACCCTGTTTTAGCAAAGTTGGTCCAAAATGTCATCACGATATTAGCAGCAATCTGGTCCTCCTCAGACCACTCAAATTCCACACCCTCTTTGACGATTTTTGTTCCGAAGAGTAGAGGTATTTCGTCCCCGTGTGCGGCACCCTTTGTCCAAGATGGCAGACTGAAGCCCATTAAATAGTCAACGACACTTTTTCCACTCAGTACGTGGCTGACGAGGTAGGCGTAGGTGGTAGATTTGTGGGTGTCAGTTTTTGATCTCAAGTGGGCCAGGGATGATTCTACAACATGTTGGTGGAACATCATATCAGTGAAAAAATCACGTGCGGCGAGAGTGTTTTCAATTGGGTCAGTTTTGTGTGTGTAAAAGTCATGGACGTGTTTTTTTACCGCTTCTGGGTTCTCTGAGAAAAATCCTTTCAGCAGTGGCATCACCAGTTTCGTGTTAATGATGTCCTCTGGTATCCCGGATGTTATGTTGTACCCATAAGCCTCTTGCGCCATGGCCGCCATGTGAAGAAAAAGGTTCCCCTCTTCTGTTAACGAACCGACCATCCAATCAACTTTATTGAACGCCTCGTCCATTTCTTTGTTGGTTTTGGGTTTGAAAGCTGAAAAATACTCCTTCATTCCATAAGGTACAAAATCACCATCTTCTATTGGTCCAACCGTGCCTGCATCTTCATTACTGATATCCGGTTGTAGTAACTCCATAGATTTATTAACAAGGTCCTCCAAGGGTGTCAAACGCAGGCAGTTCACCATCTTCAGACTATCGCTGAGGTTTTCATTGTCTGAAGTGTTACAATTAAGATTGCGGGCCAAATCTTTGGCAGCGCGAAGAGGATTTCTTGCAAACGCAAATCCGTTACTAAATGTGGGCGGACTCTGGCTGATGGCGCGTTTAACCAACCCAATGTTATATTTAGTCACTGCTTGATGTTGTACACTAGAACCACCGGCAGATTCACCAAATATGGTAATGCTTTCTGGGTCACCACCAAATGTTGAGATGTGTTCTTTGACCCATTTCAAGGCCTCGTGCTGATCCCACAGTCCAATGTTGCTTGGTGCATTTTCGTTCAGCGTTGTAAGAAACCCAAATATGTTAAGCCTGTAATTGATGGTGACGCAAATAATATCACCATGTAGAGCCAATTCCTCGCAGGGGTAGTCCATTCCCTGACCAATTGCGTACCCACCCCCGTGTATCCAAACCATCACCGCTTTGGGGACCTTATTTTCTGATTCAGGGATGTACACATTTAGACTGAGACAGTCTTCTGACATATCTATGTGAGGTAACGTGTCTGCCATTCCGGGAAAAAAGACTTGCATACATGAAGGTCCAAATTCGGTAGCATCTAAGATGCGCGTCCACGGCTTCTTGGGGACTGGTTTGCGAAAGCGTAAATATCCGAGGGGTGGCTCAGCATACGGGATGCCGAGATAGACGTCTATCTTCTTCCCGTTCACAGTTTCTGTTTTCCCACGGATTTTACCGAGCTTGGTTTCCAGAATCTCTGCATAACTACCAGTAGCTACGATCATGAGCAGTGCAGCCAGTACTTGTATGTAAGCAGCCATCTTTGAAAACACTTTGGCCTGTGACACAGTTCTATTAATATCCTCTCAGGTAAACCCTAGTGTTGAACTTTGCTCTGATAACGGGAATTTTAGTTCACGTCAATCATTGTCGCTTAAATCAGTGCTACTTGAGAAAGCGTACTTTTCGGCTTATTATGTTGCCTGTCAGGTCAGTGTGCATTGGTCAAGTTACTTTCCTTTTTCAAGTTCTCTTTTTCTTTCACATGAAACGTTTGGTTTCAACACGTACATCTCCACGGCTTTAACACGTAATACGCTAATTAAGGTTGATTAACTCCCCTTCACAAATTCTCCACAGTTTTGCTTCCTGTTGTTATGTACGTATACCATGAAATATAAGTGAGTTTGCTTTGAGGCACAGATTAATACACAGAACTCAAGATTTCTCATTATTTAGGAGAGGTTATACTGGGTTAGCTATAACTGACACATACTTAGGGACTAGTAATAGATAACAGGTACTTAATTAATTCTGCACTGGGCTCTGTTCATGTAATAGAGAATTTTATTCTTAATAATTTGAAATAAAATATTTCTGTAATACAAAACATGAACAATTACACGGTTGATTCTTCATCACATCATATTTGCCATATTTATTTTAGAGTTCAGTCTTTTGTTTGTTTCTTTGCTCTTTTTCTATTTCCTCAGGTATAGTATACATCCACAGCTTCATCCTCTCATGGTGTAGATCGTATTTCATTTCAGTTTGTTTGCCAATGTTGATGTAGCCTTTCTTGTCCTTGGTGAACTCTTCCCATGTTGCCATGCTTTCTAGGGGAAGTCCTTGATTTGGGTTTCTGAAAAGTATAAAATTAGATTCAAAATATTTTCCTTTAGTATTTCAAATATTGGCATTTCGATTCTTAGAGATTCGTCTAAAATTAATGGCGAAAAAAGATTTGATGACCAAACAGATTGAAATCAAATCAGAAATGAAACAATTGTGTTGTACTTTCTTGGCAATTTTCTTATAATAAAAACAAAATGATTACTTTACGTAGATACTGTACATCGACTGTAACATGAATTACCCCGTTTTTGCAAAATTGGTCCAAAATGTTCTCACAACTTTGGCTGTTTTTTCATCTTGTTCATTCCAGTCAAATTCCACACCTTCTTTTAAGATTTTTGTTCCAAAGACTAGAGGTAAATCGTCTCCGTGTGTGGCAGTCTTCGCCCAGGTTGGTAGACTGAAGCCAAAATAATACTCCATCACGTTCCTTCCGCTCAAAGCGTGACTGATGATGTAGGAATAAGTAGCAGATTTCTGGGCGTTACTAGTACTTTTTGATCTCAAGTGGGCCATGCATGCTTCGACAACGTGCTGGTGGAATATAATATCGGTGAAAAAATCACACATTGCGAGGGAATTTTCGATTGGGTCATCCTTGTGTGTGTATGCATCATGAATGTGCCTTTTTACTATGTCAAGGCTGTTTGGAAACAACGTTTTTAAAAACGGAAGGATCATATTTGTATTTACGACATTCTCTGGTATCCCGGATGATATGTTGTACCCGTCATCCTCTTGCGTCATGGCCGCCACGTAAAGCAAGCTATTCCCTTCATCTATTAATGCTCCGACCATCCAATCAACTTTACTAAAAGCTTCGTTTATTTCTGGATTTTTCCTGGTTTTGGAAGCAGAAAAATATTCCTTTGTGCCATAGGGCACAAAATCACCGTCTTCGACTGGAGCAAAAGGCATATTGCCATATTCCGCAACGTCATTTGTGGGGCCTGGCGTTAAAAGCTCACTAGAAGTATTAAGGAGAACCTCCGCGGGTACCAAACGCAGACAGTTAACCAATTGTAAAGTGTCGCTGAGATCTCGGTTTTCTGAGGTGTTACAATTAAGTTTGAGGGCCAGTTCCTTGGCTAACCGAAGAGGGTTTCCCGCGAAAGCAAATCCGTTGCTAAATGTTGGCGGACTCTGGCTGATGGCACGTTTAACCAACCCAATGTTATATTTAGTCACTGCCTGATGTTGTACACTAGAACCACCGGCAGATTCACCAAATATGGTAATGCTTTCTGGATCACCACCAAATGTTGAGATGTGTTCTTTGACCCATTTCAAGGCCTCGTGCTGATCCCACAGTCCAATGTTGCTTGGCGCATTTTCGTCCAGCGTGGTAAGAAATCCAAATAGGTTCAACCTGTAATTTATTGTGACACAAATGACATCACCGTGTAAAGCCAGTTCTTCGCAGGGAGTCGTCAGTGCCTGGCCAAAATCGTAGCCCCCACCGTGTATCCAAACCATCACTGCTTTGGGGGACTTATTTTCTGATACAGGGACGTATGCATTCAAACTGAGGCAATCTTCTGAGATGTCTGTGTGACGTAAGATGTCAGGGAGGGAAAAAAGCAAATTCTGGATACACGAAGGTCCATATTCGGTAGCATCTAACATGCGCGTCCACGGCTTCTTGGGGACTGGTTTGCGAAAGCGTAAATATCCGAGGGGTGGCTCAGCATACGGAATGCCGAGATATACATTTATCTTCTTCCCGTTGACCGTCTCTGTCTTCCCACGGATTTTACCGAGCTTGGTTTCCAGAATTTCTGCATGACTACCAGTAAATACGACCATGAGCAGTGCAGCCAATACTTGTATGTAGGCAGCCATCTTTGAAACACACTGAACTGTGACACAGTTCTTTATATGTGCCCTATGGCACAAAGAAAGCCATTCTCTCACCTCTGATAAACCCTAGTGTTCAATTTTGCTCTGATATCGGGGATTTTAGCTCACGTCAATTATTGTGACTTATATCAGTGCTGCGTAAGGTAGGGTTTAATATGTGTGCCATGCTAAGTGACAATTTCCCTTATTCTTACACATCGAACGTTTGTTTGCAACGCGGCTCCACAGCTGTATATAACTCATACTTGCGCTAAGGTTGTTTAACGCGACCCCTTTCACACGTTCTCCACAGGTTGTTTTGTTATGAACGTATACCCTGAAATATAAATGAGTTTGATTTGATGTACCGATTAATACACGATATCTAAGATTTTTCATCATCTAGAAGAGGTCATTCAGGGTCATCTACATGTATTACTGGCACATACTAAAAGACTTTGCTGATGACCTACATATCGATAACAAGTACAGCTGCCATTCTTTTTGTTTATCTACATAAAGTGGTGAAGCAACAATGAATTTTTCAACGATCTGAAAGCGCCCTTCGTACGTTCGACATACTATCTGTACTCTCAGCTGATTCAGCTAGACGACCTCAATATCTTATTCAGACGTTTACACAGATTAGGGTCATCAGCAGTTCAAAAGCAATCTCACCTCTCCAATTCAACCACTTTAAAATACCTGTAATACGCTTTGGCCTACCAGTGTTGTTACTCACTTTTCAGATTGTTCAGTTCACAAAAATAACCCCCAGGCTTATAAATTATTTTAATGGTGTCGCTTGCTCGTGCACCCGTATCATTTATCAATTATATAACGCAGGTGTACGTGTGCAATTTGAGTAATTAAGATTTGTATGTACCGCGCAATACCGGTAGTGCAATAATGGATTCACCTAAGATAAAAATTAGGAAAGGCCTTTGGAATTAAGTTCTGAGGGATTATATTTAAAGAGACCACTCGGGGCAGCTAAAAAGACGGACACAAGTTACGGGAGAAGGGTCAGAATTTGAAGACTCCACGTAGATCATATAGCAAGCGAGAGTCAACAAAAAAGACCTTAAACTGGCCAAAGTGTGTCCCTTGGTTTTCTTAGAGCGACNCGTGTGTGGCAGTCTTCGCCCAGGAAGGTAGACTGAAGCCAAAATAATAGTCCATCACGTTCCTTCCGCTCAAATCGTGACTGATGATGTAGGAATAAGTAGCAGATTTCTGGGCGTTACTAGTACCTTTTGATCTCAAGTGGGCCATGCATGCTTCGACAACGTGCTGGTGGAATATAATATCGGTGAAAAAATCACACATTGCGAGGGAATTTTCGATTGGGTCGGATTTGTGTGTGTACGCATCATGAATATGCTTTTTTACTATGTCAAGGCTGTTTGGAAACAACGTTTTTAAAAACGGAAGGATCATATTTGTATTTATGATATCCTCTGGTATCCCGGATGATATGTTGTACCCGTCATCCTCTTGCGTCATGGCCGCCACGTAAAGCAAGGTATTCCCTTCATCTATTAATGCTCCGACCATCCAATCAACTTTACTAAAAGCTTCGTTTATTTCTGGATTTTTCCTGGTTTTGGAAGCAGAAAAATATTCTTTTGTGCCATAGGGCACAAAATCACCGTCTTCGACTGGAGCAAAAGGCATATTGCCATATTCCGCAACGTCATTTGTGGGGCCTGGCGTTAAAAGCTCACCAGAAGTATTAAGGAGAACCTCGGCGGGTATCAAACGCAGACAGTTAACCAATTTCAAAGTGTCGCTGAGATCTCGGTTTTCTGAGGTGTTACAATTAAGTTTGAGGGCCAGTGCCTTGGCTAACCGAAGAGGGTTTCCCGCGAAAGCAAATCCGTTGCTAAATGTTGGCGGACTCTGGCTGATGGCACGTTTAACCAACCCAATGTTATATTTAGTCACTGCCTGATGTTGTACACTAGAACCACCGGCAGATTCACCAAATATGGTTATACTTTCTGGATCACCACCAAATGTTGAGATGTGTTCTTTGACCCATTTCAAGGCCTCGTGCTGATCCCACAGTCCAATGTTGCTTGGCGCATTGTCGTCCAGCGTTGTCAAAAATCCAAAGAGGTTCAACCTGTAATTTATTGTGACACAAATGATATCACCGTGCAAAGCCAGTTCTTCGCAGGGAGTCGTCAGTGCTTCGCCGAAATCGTAGCCCCCACCGTGTATCCAAACCATCACCGCTTTGGGGGCCTTATTTTCTGATACAGGGACGTACACATTCAGACTGAGGCAATCTTCTGAGATGTCTGTGTGACGTAAGATGTCAGGGAGGGAAAAAAGTAAATTCTGGATACACGAAGGTCCATATTCGGTAGCGTCTAAGATGCGCGTCCACGGCCTCTTGGGGACTGGTTTGCGAAAGCGTAAATATCCGAGGGGTGGCTCAGCATACGGAATGCCGAGATAGACGTCTATCTTCTTCCCTTTGACTGTCTCTGTCTTCCCACGGATTTTACCGGGCTTGGTTTCCAGAATCTCTGCATGACTACCAGTAAATACGACCATGAGCAGTGCAGCCAATACTTGTATGTAGGCAGCCATCTTTGAAACAAACTGAACTGTGACACAGTTCTTTATATGTTCCCTATGGCACAAAGAAAGCCATTCTCTCACCTCTGATAAACCCTAGTGTTCAATTTTGCTCTGATATAGGGGATTTTAGCTCACGTCAATTATTGTGATTTATATCAGTGCTGCTTAAGGTAGGGTTTAATATGTGTGCCATGCTAAGTTACAATTTCCCTTATTCTTACACATCGAACGTTTGTTTGCAACGCGGCTCCACAGCTGTATATAACTCATACTTGCGCTAAGTTTGTTTAACGCGACCCCTTTCACACGTTCTCCACAGGTTGTTTCGTTATGAACGTATACCCTAAAATATAAATGAGTTTGATTTGATGTACCAATTAATACACGATATCTAAGATTTTTCAGCATCTAGAAGAGGTTATATAGGGTCATCTACATGTATTACTGGCACATACTAAGAGACTTCGCTGATGACCTACATATCGATAACAGGTACAGCTGCCATTCTTTTTGTTTATCTACATAAAGTGGTGAAATTCAGATCAAAAGCGATGCAACAATGAATTTTTCAAGGATCTGAAAGCGCCCTTCGTACGTTCGACATACTATCTGTACTCTCAGCTGATTCAGCTAGACGACCTCAATATCTTATTCAGACGTTTACACTGATTAGGGTCATCAGCAGTTCAAAAGCAATCTCACCTCTCCAATTCAACAACTTTAAAATACCTGTAATACGCTTTGGCCTACCAGTGTTGTTACTCACTTTTCAGATTGTTCAGTTCACAAAAATAACCCCAGGCTTATAAATTATTTTAATGGTGTCGCTTGCTTGTGCACCCGTATCATTTTATGACCTGATATGTAATTATATAACGCAGGTGTACGTGTGCAATTTGAGTAATTAAGATTTGTATGTATCGCGCAATACCGGTAGTGCAGTAATGGATTCACCTAAGATAAAAATTAGGAAAGGCCTTTGGAATTAAGTTCTGAGGGATTATATTTTAAGAGAGCACTCGAGACAGCTAAAAAGACGGACACAAGTTACGGGAGAAGGGTCAGAATTTGAAGACTTCACGTAGATCGTAAAGCAAGCGAGAGTCAACAAAAAAGACCTTAAACTGGCCAAAGTGTGTCCCTTGGTTTTCTTAGAGCGACTTGACATGGACCTGACACAAACTGTGGAATTTCGGATTGCGTTTGCGCAGTATAAAAGGTTCCATTACAAGATTAACAGTGCAAGAATCCCCCCCCCCCAAAAAAAAATCATACTTTGAATTTTCCTGATGTAAACTGCTCCCCCTACCAAAGATCAGTAAAGTGATGACGTCAATTCTATAAAATATTTTAATCGCCCGTGTGTTTATAATTTCCGCTGCATGTATCTCTTCCTAGACGATTATATAGGGAATAATTCCAATCTTTGGCAATAAATTGAACCATATAGGCCTACATATATCGTCAGCTGTGCACATGATCACTTCACTAGGCGTTGGGGGTGATGCCGTCCTTGGGGGGGGGGATGATTGATTATATCTTATCACGTAAAAGCTTACTTCATCGGTACCTTTATATAGCCATGTATGAGAGCAGATTTCTTATGTTGTAATTATGATGTTTATCAAAAGAAATCAAAACCTTGACCGTCACTAGTGGTCACTAGTTGGTGATTTAAATTTCCTTTTTACATGATTTTTTTTCATTTGTTTATCATTAACGAATCGTTTACAGGTACACACCAATATTTACAGTGTACGTTTTAAATTTGGGAGCGACAGTAACATGACCCCAGGATCTTAGGGGGTGTGGAGCTGTATATGTACCTGTGGGTGGAGGTAAAGAAGTGTGGGGTGGGGTGGGGGGCTGTATATGTACCTGTGGGTGGAGGTAAAGAAGTGTGGGGTGGGGGGGCTGTATATGTACCTGTGGGTGGAGGTAAAGAAGTGTGGGGATATGCGACAGTCACCCATCGACAACATGTAGCTATGTATGGTGAAACGTGTTGTGCTTTATTCCAGTGTATCCTGTGCGAAGTGGAAAAGATTCTCGTAGTTTATTTCTATTACATGTATTATTCCCATGCGGCTTCTGCAGGAGTTCTGTGTATACACCACAGAATAATACTATTAATTTGAAATAAGTATCTTCTAAAAATATTCTGTGACGCAAAACTTGGAACAATTACACGGTTGATTCTTTATCACATGATATTTGCTATATTTATTTTAGAGTTCAGTCTTTTGTTTGTTTCTTTGCTCTTTTTCTATTTCCTCAGGTATAGTATACATCCACAGCTTCATCCTTTCAGGGTGTAGATCGTATTCCATCTCAGTTTGTTTGCCAATGTTGATGTAGCCTTTCTTGTCCTTGGTGAATTCTTCCCATGTTGCCACGCCCTCTAGGGGAAGTCCTTGATTTGGGTTTCTGAAAAGTATAAATTACATTTAAAATAATTTCCTTTGTTGGCATTTCGTTTTCTAGAGATTAGCTTGTGATTTAATAATAATGACAAAATTGTTTTGATGATCCAACAGATTAAAATAAAACATTACTCAGAAACTACATTTTATATTTAAACCCAAATGATTCTTTAACGTCGATACTGTACATAAGACTAAGATGAATTACCCCGTTTTTGCAAAATTGGTCCAAAATGTCCTCACAACTTTGGCGGTTTTTTCATCTTGTTCATTCCAGTCAAATTCCACACCTTCTTTTAAGATTTTTGTTCCAAAGACTAGAGGTAAATCGTCTCCGTGTGTGGCAGTCTTCGCCCAGGAAGGTAGACTGAAGCCAAAATAATAATCAATCACGTTTTTGCCGCTCAAAACATGACTGATGCTATAGGAGTAAGTAGCAGATTTCTGGGCATTACCCTTTGATCTCAGGTGGGCGTGGCATGATTCCACAACTTGCTGATGAATCACAACATCGCTGAAAAATTCTCTCGCAGCGAGGGAATTTTCGATTGGGTCGTCCTTGTGTGTGTACGCGTCATGAATATGCTTTTTTACTATGTCAAGGCTGTTTGGAAACAATGTTTTTAAAAACGGAGTGATCAGATTTGTGTTTAAGATATTCTCTGGTATCCCGGATGTTATGTTGTACCCGTCATCCTCTTGCGTCATGGCCGCCGTGTAAAGCAGGCCATTCCCTTCGTCTGCTAGTGATCCAACCATCCAATCAACTTTACTAAAAGCTTTGTCTATTTCTGGATTGCTCCTCGTTTTGGAAGCAGAAAAATATTCTTTTAAACCAAAAGGCACAAAATCACCGTCTTCTACTGGAGCGAAAGGAAATGTTCCGAATTCCTCGGTTTCGCTCGTGATACCTGGTGTTAAAAGCTCACCGGAAGTATTGAGAAGAACCTCGGCGGGTACCAAACGCAGACAGTTAACCAATTTTAAAGTGTCGCTGAGATCTCGGTTTTCTGAAGTGTTACAATTTAGTTTGAGGGCCAATTCCTTGGCTAACCGAAGAGGGTTTCCCGCGAAAGCAAATCCGTTACTAAATGTGGGTGGACTCTGGCTGATGGCACGTTTAACCAACCCAATGTTATATTTAGTCACTGCCTGATGTTGTACACTAGAACCACCGGCAGATTCACCAAATATGGTAATGCTTTCTGGATCACCACCAAATGTTGAGATGTGTTCTTTGACCCATTTCAAGGCCTCGTGCTGATCCCACAGTCCAATGTTGCTTGGTGCATTTTCGTCCAGCGTTGTTAAAAATCCAAACAGGTTCAACCTGTAATTGATGGTGACGCAAATGACGTCACCGTGTAATGCCAGTTCTTCGCAGGGAGTCCCCAGTGCCTGACCAACAGCGTAGGCCCCACCGTGTATCCAAACCATCACTGCTTTGGGTGCCTTATCTTCAGACACAGGGACGTACACATTAAGATTGAGACAATCTTCTGACATATCAGTATGGAGTAACATGTCAGGAAGGGAGAGAAAGTGAGTCTGCATACACATTGGTCCATATTCAGTGACGTCAATAGTACGTGTCCACGGCTTCTTGGGGACTGGTGTTCGGAAACGTAGATGGCCAACGGGAGGTTCTGCAAACGGAATGCCGAGATAAACATCTATTTCCTGCCCGTGAATCGTTTCTGTCTTTCCACGAATTTTACCGAGCTTCGTTTCTAGAACTCTTGCTTTAGCACTAATGACTATCATGAAAACCGCCGAGATGAAAACTGTCATCAGGAGATAGTTGACTGTGTCACCCATCTTTTTGCTTAAACTACGCAGGTCAAACTTTGAGTTGAGCTGTTTTGGTATCCGCCTCCTGTACCTAGCTACGTGGACTTCCCTTACCGCAGTCAATACTGATACTAAATATATAGCAAATAGTGGCTCCGCCTATGTTAAAACCTGACTTATAGAAGTTTATTCAATCCCGGCGGTTGCTCAATCTACCCTCGCTAACTTAATCCTTGAAATATATTTATCTTTCAACAATACTGACATAGCCCCGTATGCTGTATTTACACGATGCAAACCCACATTCCCACCTACACCTTCGATCCACGTCGATTGACCCAGCTCTGTGTGGACACTCGCTAGTTGCAATCAGCTTAACTGACTGACACACCTCCTTGTTTCCTAATCACCGGCGTTTCTGTATTCTACTTAACGCCAGGAGTCGCCGGAGAGCTGGGTCGATCAATATAGACCGATGGTGTCTGTGTGAATGTGGCCTAAGATTTGATGGTGCACTCCATTAAAAAGTCAACAAATGAAGTGTACGTACGTGTATTATGTAGACGCGGCATTGACGCTTTTCGCAGTTGTTTACCTAGAACGACAAACCTGTTAGCTGAATACTGGCCACGTATTATTTAGCATTGCGTGCCAGATTTGATGTGTTAATTAAAGGGATAATAACTCTTCGTATGAGATTTATATTTCACAATAAAAACCTTGTGAATAACTCATAGAAATATAATATATTCTGTTTTACCACAAAAACAGCAGTTATAACTATTATTCTGATATCTGAACTTGTCTTTAGACCACGTTTTCTCCATTGATGTCTATACTCTGTTAAAATCTCTTAAGAGATTTTAACAAAAAACCAAACTTTTTAGAAAAAAACCAGGGACTAACTTTGAGTGTAAAAATGGATTCATTTACCATTGGTAAGTATGGGAAAATTGATGTTTACTCCAGGAAAATTCATTTTTTGGCCAAAACGAAGAGTTATTATTGCTTTAAGCATTTGGTCGTCCTTCTTGCTGAGGGGGAGTAGATCAGTTTTGTTCAGTTTGTCTCTTCTTCAATCAACCTTTCCGTCTAGAATTACTCATTGTTTATTTAAAAAGAAGTTGATTTTGACCTTTGCTTAATTTGTATCTGTAATACTTAATTTCACAATACCGTCTGGGGCGAGCGACACAAATATTTACACAGGACATAGATTAGACCTACTTTTTGACACGTAGATATCAAATTGATATGGGTGTACGTGCGTGTAGGTATTTTTCCTATGCATTATTCTGTAGCTTTTGTATTTTATTTTTTTATCATAAAATAGGCGGGTTCCTACATTTTCATTGTCTTCACCAAATTGTAACAAAATACCCCTTCCCTTTCTCCAGTTTTATTTTTCAGTCGTTGCCATATATGAGAGACTCCCTTAATTAATTAAAAAATTAAAACCAAGACTATAAATCATAAAATCAGTCTCCGGTAGGGATTGACAAACGCCAAGTGCATAATTTCCCCGTTATCCCCAACGACCAGTCGCTTTTTTCTGGTATATTCCCCCTCCAACCCCCCCCCCCCCCCCCCGGCCTCTTAAAATTTACTTCACACGCTGTGATCATACAACCGCAAGGATGTCTTTAAATCTAAAGCTAGACACTGAATGAGTATTTTTCTGTTATTTCAAAAAGAAACATTTTATCATTGAATTTTGATTTATCATACTCATTGCAGCTGAAAAGTGTAGACGTGTTAATTAAGCATTTGGTCGTCCGTCTTCCCTGACTGGCACCGTATTCCCACCCCTATCACATCCAGTGTTAACCTAAGATCTGCAGACTGAGGGGGAGTAGATCAGTTTCTGCTAGGCATAACTATACGATAATGATATAACACGTCTATCACATTTCCTTTGCCAAAACATTCAGTGAAAAAATTCCTGATAGACCTTGGGGCATTCTATGTCTATGTCTATCTGTTGATAACGACACTTTTTCTCTACTCAGTCAGGAAGACTTACAATGCAAACAGTATTTTTTTATTTTTGTTCCATTGAAGTAAATCTAATTCTGTCATTTGCAAATTATATAAGCAGGAAACACGTCTGATTACAAAGTTAAGTTATACTAATATCAATTCTATTGTTGTATCGTAGGAATTAAGTCAAATTCTGATTTAGAGCTCTGTCTTTTGTTTAATTGCTCGTTCTCTTTCTATTTCCTCAGGTATAGTATACATCCACAGCTTCATCCTCTCTGGTAGTAGATCGTATCCCATCTCAGTTTGTTTCCCAATGTTGATGTAGCCTTTCTTGTCCTTGGTGAACTCCTCCCATGTTGCCACGCCCTCTAGGGGAAGACCTTGATTTGGATTTCTGAAGACAAACGTACACATTAGCTGTATTCATTATTATTATTATAAGCACCACACAATGCTTTACGTGGGACATATCTCAGAGGAAAACGTTTGCAGCTCTTAAACTATTTCTTGTGTTGCACTGCATCTTTTAAATACTTCTGAATTTAAATCAAATAAAAGCCGGGCAGTGACCTAATATAGCACTTTCTCTACATGTTTTATAAAAATAATTTTTAAAATATCAGTTTACCCTGTTTTGGCAAAGTTGGTCCAAAACGTCATCACAGTATGAGCAGCAATCTGGTCCTCCTCAGACCACTCAAATTCCACACCCTCTTTGACGATATTTGTTCCAAAGAGTAAAGGTAGTTCATCACCGTGTGCCGCACATCTCGTCCAAGATGGGAGACTGAAGCCTATTAAGTAGTCAACGGCGTTTTTTCCACTTAATACGTGACTGACGAGGTAGGCGTAGGTGGCAGATTTCTGGGTGTCAGTTTTTGATCTCAAGTGGGCGAGGGATGATTCTACAACATGCTGGTGGAAAACAATATCAGTGAATAAATCTCGCATGGCGAGTGTATTTTCAATTGGGTCAGTTTTGTGTGTGTACATTTCATGAATATGCTTTTGTACCGTTTTTATACCAGCTGGAAACATTGGTTTCAGCACCGGAAGAACTAGATTTTTGTCAATTATCTCGGCTGGTATCCCGGATGTTATGTTGAACTCGAAAGCTTGTTGCAGCATGGCGGCAGAGTACAACATAAAGTTGCCTTCGTCGGCAAGAGATCCCACCATCCAGTCGACTTTACTGAATGCCTCATCCATTTCCGGACTGGGTTTGGACTTGGAAACCGAAAAATAGTCCTTCATCCCATATGGAACAAAGTCTCCATCTTCTGTTGGAGCAAAAGCAATTTCAAACTCTACATCTTCTTTTGTAAGGTCTGGTTGCACTAACTCAGTAGTTTTATTCAACAGATCTTCTGGGGAAACTAGGCGGAGACAATTTACCAATTTTAGAGTATCCGTGAGATGTTCATTATCAGAAGTGTTACAATTGAGTTTGCGAGCCATTTTCTTAGTTGTAAGTAGAGGATTCCTCGCCAACGCAAATCCGTTACTAAATGTGGGCGGACTCTGGCTGATGGCGCGTTTAACCAACCCAATGTTATATTTAGTCACTGCCTGATGTTGTACACTAGAACCACCGGCAGATTCACCAAATATGGTAATGCTTTCTGGATCACCACCAAATATTGAGATATGTTCTTTGACCCATTTCAAGGCCTCGTGCTGATCCCACAGTCCAATGTTGCTTGGTGCATTTTCGTCCAGCGTTGTAAGAAACCCAAATATGTTCAGCCTGTAATTAATGGTGACGCAGATAATATCACCATGCAGAGCTAATTCTTCGCAGGGGGTCATCATTCCCTGACCGAGCGCGTAGCCACCTCCGTGTATCCAGACCATCACCGCTTTGGGGGCCTTATTTTCTGATACAGGGGCGTACACATTCAGACTGAGGCAATCTTCTGACACATCAGTGTGTTGTAGCATGTCTGCCATCCCGGGGTATAGAATCTGCATACAAGATGGTCCGTACTCAGTAGCGGCTAAAGTACGCGTCCATGGCTTTTTGGGTACTGGCTTTCGGAAGCGAAGATGTCCAAGGGGAGGTTCTGCATATGGTATGCCCAGGTAGACATCTATTTCCTTTCCGTTCACCGTTTCTCTTTTTCCTTGGATTTTCCCGAGCTTGGTTTCCAGAATCTCAGCATGGCTAGTGACGATCATAAAAAACACAGCTAAAATACACGAAGCCATCACAGAAGTGCGGTTAAGTGAGACAGCCATTCTAGCTATGAGTTGTAACAGCAACAATCACCTGTTCTAATAGCGCGTACTTGGCCTTGTAAGTCTAGATGACCTACTTTGGTCTCTTGTCTTTCTAACGCTCAGGGGTAAGCTCGCTCTGGCACAAGGTGTTGTATAATTAGCAACTGATAGGAAATTTGAACAAAGATAACCGTCTAGTCATGAAACATTCCCCTTTGCGCTGAAATATCGCTTCTATTAAAGTTGATACAGATGGAATCACTATACTTACTCGTACAGTGGCAAAGACACAGAAATTAAATTAAATTTAATGTTTTAACAAATATTTTTAAAATCGACTAGATTTATGATAAGACATATACATATATAGGCCTACTTGTAGCTCACTTTCACATTTATACTGAAAATCCTGGTCCACAGTTCCTTGGGTCAAGTGAGAGACGCGTTTTAGGGGGTATAGATGTCATTTTCGCTACCAGTATAGCGATTAGCGATGTGACAGAGAGTCCCCCATGATATCCAACCCTATTTGACCCACTTACTAGTACGTCAGGCTTACCGTATCCTGCATAATTAAATGGAGGGTGGAATCTCTCTTACAAGGACCCTCAGTTTCCTCTCAGATGCCACATCAGATTTATATGCATTGTTAAGTTTTCGTAAGAGAGCGCATCACGGTCTCTCAAGTTTAACTTCGACGTAAATGTGAGCTTTCATTTTCAAAACATGTAAAAAGTCTTTTCTCCAATGGACTTTCGTCTTGTAGAGGGCATATCTTCATTTTTTCATTTTTAAATCAAAATTAAATTATATGTACAAATGACACAAAACATCGTATCCTTGTGCCAACACTGGCCGAGCAGTGATTCGTGGCCAAAATTAATTATTTTTTAACGCAACAAATTATACTTGACAAGAAACCCCTAATAGCATATCTTTAATAAAATACCGGTGTTTTTAAAGAATCACAGACTTTTTCATTTTGCAAATTAAGAATAGGCATTGCATAATATTAGTGTTCTTTTTTCAGAAAACTTATAAAACTAAAAGATGAAATGCACAATGTATCGATTTTCTCTTTAGTTGAAAATCAAAATACGTATCTACATTGATATATCTTTTTCTTTTATTTCATTCATTTAATATAACATATATTATCATTGCCCAATGAAGTTTTTTTTTCACAAAGCTAGTCTTTTACAAACAAAATGATGAGTGTTAATCATTGAAGTTTTCGCAAGAGATAACATACACTTATTATTTTCACATGTACCTATAGTGAATGTGGAATTTTTTATTTCATTACCTATGTCAAAATAAACATTCATTTTAAAACTGAAGATAAACCTACAGGGCATTAAGCATTTTTCATCTTTATACAAAAGTTAATGTCAATTTTGTTCTCCTTCATTATATGAGTTACGAAGTGTACATATGTAGTTTTATTTTCTTGTACGAAATAAATCACATTCCATCATTTTGAATTATCGTTGGGCGGGAACATGTTTGATCGCAACTATGAGATATACTATTTTTTTTCTTTTTGTACTGCAAGATATACGTAAATTTTCTAATTTACAGTTCTGTCTTTTGTTTAATTGCTCGTTCTCTTTCTATTTCCTCAGGGATCGTATACATCCACAGCTTCATCCTCTCTGGTAGTAAATCGTATCCCATCTCAGATTGTATGCCAATGTTGATGTAGCCTTTCTTGTCCTTGGTGAACTCCTCCCATGTTGCCACGCCCTCTAGGGGAAGTCCTTGATTTGGATTTCTGAAAAGAAAACGTACAAATTAGCTGTATTTATTATTATTATTATTATAAGAAACAAACAATACTTTGCGTGGGACATGTCTCAGAGGAAAACGTTTTCAGCTTTAAAGTAATTTTTTGTGATGCACTGCATCTTTTAAACACTTCTGAATTTAAATCAAATAAAAGCCGTGCAGTGGCCTAATATAGCACTTTCTCTACATGTTTTATAAAAATAATTTTTAAAATATCAGTTTACCCTGTTTTGGCAAAGTTGGTCCAAAACGTCATCACAGTATTAGCAGCAATTTGGTCCTCCTCAGACCACTCAAATTCCACACCCTCTTTGACGATATTTGTTCCAAAGAGTAAAGGTAGTTCATCACCGTGTGCCGCACATCTCGTCCAAGATGGGAGACTGAAGCCTATTAAGTAGTCAACGGCGTTTTTTCCACTTAATACGTGACTGACGAGGTAGGCATAGGTAGCGGATTTCTGGGTGTCAGTTTTTGATCTCAAGTGGGCCAGGGATGATTCTACAACATGCTGGTGGAAAATAGCATCAGAAAATAAATCTCGCATGGCGAGAGTATTTTCAATTGGGTCAGTTTTGTGTGTGTACATTTCATGAATATGCTTTTGCACCGTTTTTATACTATCTGGAAACATTGATTTCAGCACCGGAAGAACTAGATTTTTGTCAATTATCTCGGCTGGTATCCCGGATGTTATGTTGAACTCGAAAGCTTGTTGCAGCATGGTGGCTGAGTACAACATGAGGTTGCCTTCGTCAGCAAGAGATCCCACCATCCAATCGATTTTACTGAATGCCTCATCCATTTCTGGACTGGGTTTGGACTTGGAAATCGAAAAATAGTCCTTCATCCCATATGGAACAAAGTCTCCATCTTCTGTTGGAGCAAAAGCCATTTCAAACTCTACATCTTCTTTTGTAAGGTCTGGTTGCACTAACTCGCTAGTTTTATTCATCAGATCTTCTGCGGAAACCAGGCGGAGACAATTGACCAATTTCAGAGTGTCGGAGAGATCTTCGTTATCAGAAGTGTTACAATTGAGTTTGCGAGCCATTTTCTTAGTTGTAAGAAGAGGATTCCTAGCTAACGCAAATCCGTTGCTAAATGTCGGCGGACTCTGGCTGATGGCACGTTTAACCAGCCCAATGTTATATTTAGTCACTGCCTGATGTTGTACACTAGAACCCCCGGCAGATTCACCAAATATGGTTATACTTTCTGGGTCACCACCAAATGTTGAGATGTGTTCTTTGACCCATTTCAAGGCCTCGTGCTGATCCCACAGCCCAATGTTGCTTGGTGCATTTTCGTCCAGCGTTGTTAAAAACCCAAAAACAGTCAGTCTGTAGTTGATTGTGACGCATACAATATCACCATGCAGAGCCAATTCTTCGCAGGGGGTCGCCATACCCTGGCCGATCGCGTAGCCACCTCCGTGTATCCAGACCATCACCGCTCTAGGGGCATTATTTTCTGATACAGGGACGTACACATTAAGACTGAGGCAATCTTCTGACACATCAGTGTGTTGTAGCATGTCTGCCATCCCGGGAAATAGAATCTGCATACAAGATGGTCCGTACTCAGTAGCAGCTAGAGTACGCGTCCATGGCTTTTTGGGTACTGGCTTTCGGAAGCGGAGATGTCCAAGGGGAGGTTCTGCATATGGTACGCCCAGGTAGACATCTATCTCCTTTCCCTTCATCGTTTCTCTCTTTCCTTGAATTTTACCGAGCTTGGTTTCCAAAATCTCAGCATGGCTAGTTACGATCATAAAAAACACAGCTAAAATACACGAAGCCAGCAGAGAACGCTTAAGTGAGACACCCATTCTGGCAACGAGTTGTGACACCAACTTGGCCTTGTAAGTCTAGATAACCTACTTTAGTCTCTTGTCTTTCTATCGCTCAGGTGTAAGCTTGCTCTGGCACGAGTTGCTTTATAATCAGAAACTAGTAGGAAATCTGGGCAAAAATAGACGTCTAGTCATGAAACATTTCCCTTGCGCTGAAATAACGCTTCTATAAAAGGTTATATATTCTTTGGGTTCCCTTTTATGGTAAATATGCCGCAGCTTTCCCATATAGGACCAGCGCCCTATATATTGGCACCGTGATCGTGTGACAGGCAGAGTACATATATTGACCTTTATTGACAATTATTCAACATGACCCTAACAACAGTTTGTGGTTTGTGTACTGTTTATACATTAGCACATTCAGAAAGCATCAGTCTCCTGTAATCCACGTTTCTACAATGATATGAACATTTGCTGATCCCTACTGTATGTATACACAAGTAAGCTGTCAGTATATGCTCTAAGATGACAAATGGAATACAAATTGGGATGCTGGGGCAGATGAAGTCACAAGACATACTCGTATAGCGGCAGAGACAAAGACATTAAATGGGGATATTTTAACAATTTTTTAAAATCGCCATAATGATTAAACATATACATACATACCTGTAGTTCACCTACATGTTTTTACTGAAATTCCTGTTCCTCGGGCCATGTAAGAGACGCGTTTTGAGGTATAGACATCATTTTTGCTACTAGTATAGCGATTTGTAATGTGACAGGGAGTCCCCCATGACAGAGAGTCCGGTCCCCATTAATTTGCTTAGATCGCCCTAGTTTTGACCCACTTACTAGTACGTCAGGTTTACCCTATCCTGTATAATTTAATGTTGGGTGGACTCTCTGTCACACGGACCCTCAGTTTACCCTATCCTGTATAATTTAATGTTGGGTGGACTCTCTGTTACACGGACCCTCAGTTTACCCTATCCTGTATAATTTAATGTTGGGTTGACTCTCTGTTACACGGACCCTCAGTTTACCCTATCCTGTATAATTTAATGTTGGGT